GGAGGGAGGGGAGGAGTGGGCAGCCGGGCGCTCAGTGCCGTCCAGCCACCTGGTCCCCATGTGCTCCTGCCCAGACCCTTCCCCGCTGCTCGCCAGCAGGCAGCCACGTCCTGTCCCCATGGGCACCCTCCGCGACCCCACCCGCTGACACCGACTCACCGGGGAGTCTGGAGGGAGGCTGGAGTCCTCATCCTGGCTGAAGGTGCTGCTGAAGGCCCTGAAAGTGTCGCTGTTCTGCTTGTGCTTCTCGAGGGTGGCCTGGATGACCTGGCCCGGCAAAGCAGCAGGACATCAGAGAGCAGCAGAGTGCCTCCTCCCAGAGGGCCACGCCTGCCTCTGTCCCCAGGAGAGACCCTCGTGTCCTTGGAGTGCTGCCTGGGCCACGGGTCACCCTAGTCCCCTGATCAAGACACAGGCTCTCCCGTGGAGCCACCCAAACGAGGAGGTCTGTCCCGGGGAGAGGACGCCTAACTGGGTGCCCTGGGCCCAGCGGTATTTATTTATGGGGACGGGGGTGGGGAGTGCTTAGATAAGCAGATGGGTCAAAGGCTGGTGGCACCTGGAGTTGCTTCTGCAGCCACATGGTGGCCCTGTGTCCCTTCAGGGGGGACTCAGCTGGGTGGGCAGTACTGGCCACTCCCCCCCAGCATGAATGCCATGGGCTTAGCAACACGGCCATTGGTCACCTGAAAGCATTAGAAGATTTACCTGAATCCATTCTTTCTTTTCTTCCTCCGTCCTATTAAAACGAAGGAGTATGTTACTAATCCGGCCTTGGAGACTGACAATAACCCTCCCTTCCTTCCAGCCCCACACAGAAGGCCACGGTATGTGGGAGACACACCCCGAGGGCCCTGAAATGCTCGTAGCCAGAGGAGGCCCAGTAGGGTGATTGGGTGCAGCCAGGGGTGGCCAGGGGGCCCATCTGTGCCATGCAGTGCCCTCTGCAGTGGGTGTAAAGCAGCATCCCCTGAGGCCAGCTGTGTGGTTGGTGGAGACTAGACCCCCCACGGGGCCACTCGGCACAGGCTGGGCGTTGCCTTAGAGCAGCTGTCCCCATCCTTTTAGGCACGGGGACTGGTTTCACGGAGATCATGTTTGCGTGGACCAGGAAGGTGGTTTCTGAGAGTGGGCGACTTAGAACCCTGCAAGTGCAGTCCACGACAGGGTCCAGGCTCCTTGGAGAACCTGCCGCCGCCGCTGACCTGACAGGAGCAGAGCTGAGGCCGTGAGGCCAGGGGAGTGCTTGCAAACACAGATGACGCTTTGCTCCCTCCCACTGTGTGGCCCTAACAAGCCGCAGACAGGTACCCCTCGGTGACCTGGGGGCTGGGGGCCTCTACCTTAGAGGGTACGTGACAATAGCCAGCGGAGTGTAAAACAGATATACTTCTCTGACCAGCAGGGCTAGGTCAGGAATCTCCCGGCGGACAGAGCGACCCGGGCACAGACGTAAACCTGAGGGTGCCGCCGCTCCACCGTGCAGTGAGACAGGCGGGCTGAGTCCCTGGGCAGGGGTCAGAACGAGAGCATGCTGCTTTGGGGAAGGGCACAGGGAGAGGCCAGAGGCACAAGAAGTGAAAGGAGCGATGCAGAACAGGCACCTCGAAGGACCTCCGGGATGGCTAAGCGTGCGGCCAGCCCACAACGGGGACAGGTGGAGGCTTACTTCTCCGCCACATCCATCAGTAGAAATGGCAGCAAGGCTCCCCAGCCAGGGAAGGGCAGAGACGTGCACACTGGGGACGCCGCCTACCGTGCCTGCAGCTCCAGGGACCTTTTCTTCCCAGTCACGACAAATGTATGTGCCGCATTTGGCTTGACGACATCCTGCACCTAAAGGGACAAGGACGAAAAAGCAAAGTGTAAGCCAGACCACCTGCCTCATGCTCCCTGACTTGGAGGGGTCCCCTGGAGGGGTCGTAGAGGCAACCTGGGGGCTGTTGGGCCTGCAGGAAGGGGAGCATGCAAGTGCAGGGCCACAGTGACCATAGGAAGACCATTTGCAGGCCTGTCCATGGGGGGACAACAGGCCATCAGTCCTGCCTCCACAGGACTGGGACCACCATCCTTCATGCTTGGAACTGTGCCACCCAAGCCTCCTGGATTCTCGGGGCTGTTTTGGAGTTACCCTGAACCAGCCCTGTCCAGCGGAGCCTTCCCACAGGGACAGCTAGGCACAGCCTCCCTTTGGGTGGGGTGAGGCTCTGATGAGAAGAACCAGGAAGCCTGGCCAGGATGTCCAAGCCCTGAGGGGCCAATGGGAGACTGAGAACCCAGGGGCTATGTGACATTGAGCCACTGCCTCTTCTGTCAGGACAGACTACAGACGGCAGCTCCTGGTGGGCCTTGAGCCCTCCAGAACCACCTGGCTGTTTGACTTTAAGGAAATATGAGGGCCCTGGGCCCTGTCCAGAATTTCTGGGTTTTTCCAACCATAGGTAGAAAACATCTGCATTAATACATCGGATCAAGGGAAATAAGACTGATTTCTTTCTTTCTTTCTTTCTTTCTTTCTTTCTTTCTTTCTTTCTCTCTCTCTCTCTCTCTCTCTTTTTAAAAAGAATGATTTATTTAATTTTATATATTATTATTATTATTATTTAAGTTGCTACAGAGCATGTGTGCTCAAGAGAGAGAAGATGAGAAAGTAAACTTCCAGGTCCGGGACTCCAACCATAGTCGGCCATGTGGGAGTCCAGCATCTTAACCACCACACTACCTACTGGCCCTACAAGACCGATTTCTTCCATAGAAACTAGAAAAATGATTTCATTTAATTATGGAAAAGGTATTTTGTTTATCCAGTCAGTCTTGACTTTTAATGCTATTTCTTCACCTGGATTCAGAGAATTTCAGGTACGAAGGTATTCTGGGGTGTCATTTAAGCCAAATGTTACTTTGTGAAGTGATAAAATACATGGACTTAGCCAGCGTTTGGGGAGCCCTCTCCACAGGGGACAGGACCCACTCCAGCCCCCCTCCATGAGACATGGAACAGGCACGTAGGACAGGGACAGCAAAGACGGAGGAATCCCAGACCTAGCCACACATGTGCCCAGGACCCCTCCTCCAGCTCGAAGATCCCAGGTCCCACATGGGAGAGGATACCTAGGGACCTGGGGCCTGACAGGGCAGGCAGACCTGCACCTGCCCCTGACCATGGCCCTTGGGGCTGCGAAGGGGCCCAGGCTGTCTCAGGTGGGGGACCATCCAGGTCCAGGGCTGTCCGACACCGTCCCTCCAACCCCCAAAGCTGTGGCTGTGCACTGGGCTTTCCTAACAACCCAGTCTTGGCCTCAGCCTCGGAGCACGGGGCTCACAGCACCCTGGCAGGTGGCCAAGCAGAGGTGCAGAGGCCTGCCCGCCCAGCCCAGGACCCCAGGGCCCAGATGCTGCTCCTACATGGCCTCCATTCCAGACAAAGCCCACGCAGCTCGGGGCTGAAGTCTGCACGGCGGGGAGTGCTGAGGCGCCCAGAGCTGGGTCCCCTCCAGAAGACGGGTCGGGAAGGAAGAAGGGCGGGGCTCACCCACCTGGAGGCCTGAGATGTCCATCTTCTCGCGGACGCTGAATTTCTGGCCCTTGAGCCGCAATTTGGGCACGCAGTAAAGGATCATGCTGTTGAACTGCGAGAGGAGCACACCATGAGCACACCGTCCCGGCTGGCGACCCAGGCCCAGGAGCCCCTCGCATGGGACCCTTTGGAATTGCCCGTTAATGTTGTAAAGTAAGATTTATTTTAAAAGTCACACACAGTGGGACCAACAGTTAGCATAATGGCTATGTCGCTGGACTCCCACGTAGTCGACCGCGGTTCGCGTCCCGGACCCGGTGGCTTAAAACTCACACCGGGTGCATGTGCGTGCATGCCCAAGATCCCGAGAGGAGAAGGAGGAGAAGGGATTGCGGCGTGACCATCCCCCCTGGGGGGTGATTTCTTGCTTTCTGTCTCTATGTCTCTCTCTGTCTGGCGAGCGCACGCGCCCTATAGCGAAAAACCTCTTAAAAAAAAAAAAGGCACACACAGTAAGGGACACCAGGTGGCATAGTGGTTAAGGCACTGGACTCCCATATAGCCCACTGAGGTTCTAGTCCCAGACTAGCAGCTTAAAAATCACATTGGGCATGTGTGTGTACATGTCTAAAATCCCAGGAGGAGGTCAGAGGAGAAAAGACTGGTGTGGATATGCCCCTGGGGGTTGATTTCTCACTTTTCCTCTCACTTTTCCTCTCACTGTCTGTCTGTCTCTCTTCAGCAAACTCACCTGCCCTAAGTCAAAAAAAAAGACATGCTTAGTAGTTTTAACTGTGGTTACACCTTCCAGTGAGGAGTGTAGACTCCAGCTTTATTCTTGTAAGATTTCGATTTGTTAGCTTGTCAGCCATGAAGCTGGGCTAATTGCATGGTCAAAACAAACTCCTGAATGTTTGGGGTAGGTCCTCAGAGCTGGGTCTCCCTAGCGCATGTTCGGAGCTGCAGAGGCTGGACACCCTCAGGCCGTTTATGAGGAATTCTGGGAAACAGAGCAGACTGTGGTTGCTGGGCAGGGCTGGAGAGCTTTTCCACCACGGGGCATGACAGGAAAACTTCCGGACATCAATCATTGCTCTGCAACTTGACTGTGGTTGTATTTGTCAAAACTCAGAACTGTGCAACTAGAGCGAATTGCTGTGAATGCAGATTTTTAAAACTTAAAAAAATACTTTCAAAATAAATAAATAGGGACCAGCAGATGGTGTAATGGTTATGTCACTGGACTCCCATGTAGTCAACCATTATTTGAGTCCTGGGCCCTGAGGCTTAAAACTCATGCCAGGTGCATGTGCATGCAAGCCCAAGATCCCAGAGAGGAGAAAAGAGGAAAAGGGATTGTGGCATGGCCATCCCCCCATGGGTGGTGATTTCTTTTTCCCTCTCTGTCTCTCTTTCTCTCTTCCTGGTGAGCACATATGCAAAAAAAAAAAAAAACTTTAAAAAAAAAAAAAAGATGTTCACAACGAATGGGCAAAGCCATAGGCAAGGGTTTGGGGCCTGAATGCGGGGGAACAAGGGTGTCTCAGATGGCTCACCAGGAAGAGATGGCGGTCCTGGGCCGTGCCGTTCTTGGCTGACAGCTTCTGGATCTGGCCCTCCTTGATCAGCTCATTGGCTGGGTTGACGATGTCCTCCTCTCCCCCCAGCTGCTCATACACCTCCAAGAGCTTGTGCATTTTCTCCTGCATGAGACAAGGGGCAGGCAGCTGTCTGATCACAAGAAAGAAAGGCCAGCAGAAGCCACCCTATAACCACGACCCAGAACCCTGTAAGCCTACAGACAGCAGAATACACGGGGGGACATTCAAGTGGGTACTGAAGTATGAATAGGAGTTCACCATGCACAGACTAACAATAATAATAATAAACACAACAGCAGCCAACTCTACTACCGTGTGCCAAGTACTGTCCTACACACGGTGCACGTTCTAACTCAGTCCCTAGGAGGTAGGTGCCAGGGTCATTCTCAGCTAACAGACAAGCAGACGGAAGCATGGTGGCCATTATCCATACCTGGCAACCCTTACGTCACCTTCATCTGGCCATAAGGATGGCTAGGTGGTGAAGTGGGGTGGTGGGAGCACCCTGAGGTGTGAAGGGAGAGGAGCGGTAGCTCCTGACCCAAGTGTGTGCGGGAGCCAATGCAGCAGAAGGCAGAGAGGAGCCCATGGGTGCCTTGGCGACAGCTGGTGGTCTGAGCCTGGATCAGCTGTGCCTTGGCACCCCAGCTGTGCCTTGGCATCCCAGCTCAGACATGAGTGCCCGCAGACCCGAAGCACATGGGGAGGTGGCCCTCTGTCTCTGGCATGATGTGGGTAGATGAAGTAGGTCACAGGACACAGGGCAGGTGTGGGGGCAGGAGAGGAGCTGGCAGTGGGGAACATGGAGGGGCAACTAGGGCAGGGCTGAGGGCTTTGCGAGAGTTAGGGGGAACTGCAGGAAGCTGGAGGATATGCAGGGAGCTGGGCGAGAGCCTGCCCTTTACTAGAGGAGCTGAGCTCGTGCCTGGTGTGTACCAGGGCTTGTGTGCACTGGTGTGTACCTGGGGGGCAGGGCGTGCACTTACTGTTTACCTGGAGGAGGCGTGAGCGTGTGCCTGGTGTGTACGTGGAGGGTTGGAGGTGCACCTGGGGTGTGAACCTGGGTCTAGGTGCATACCTAGTGTATACTGGGGGGGCTGGGCACCCACCTGCTGTGTACCCAGCAGGCTAGGCATGCACCTGGTATGTGTCACGGCAGGTGGTCATGCACCCGGTGTGGACCTGGGGGCTGGGCATGCACCCGGTGTGGGCCTGGGGGCTGGGCATGCACCCGGTGTGGACCTGGGGCCTGGGCGTGCACCCGGTGTGGGCCTGGGGCCTGGGCGTGCACCTGGTGTGGACCTGGGGCCTGGGAGTGCACCCGGTATGGGCCTGGGGGCTGGACGTGCACCCGGTGTGGACCTGGGGGCTGGGTGTGCACCCGGTGTGGGCCTGGGGGCTGGGCATGCACCCGGTGTGGGCCTGGGGGCTGGGGGTGCAGGCTCTGCCATGCCCCATTTCGTGGACAGGAGATGAAGGCACAGAGCACCACGTGCCGAGGCCACTAACCTAGTACCGCGGCCTTCCCAGTGTGGGACAGGGCCACGACCACCCAGGAGCCGAGGGGCCTGCCTGGCCTCACCCTCCCTGGGCTGCTGCACAGTCCCCTCCAAGCGAATCTCCAGAGCCACACTCACCATTTTCCGGATGGCGGCGTTGGAGTGGTTGGCAGCTGTGGAGATGAGTTCCAAGGACCCTGCAGGGGAGACGTGGCTGAGCCGAGACCACGCGGCGGCCCTCAGGCCCACTCAGTCGGCCTTGGGCTCCAGGGCAGCTGCCTGCAGGACGGTGTGCCTGAGCTGCTTCCGGGCTGGGCCTGGGCTAGGGGTGCAACCCACGGCCCCACAGACACTGTGTCTGCCGAGGGGCTGCTGGGCCAGCACCGGGGAGACCCCACTCTCCCACCCAGAGGCCTGCCCTGTGCTGCCCACTGGCCACACATCACCGTCTTCGGAACAGCAGCCGCTGCCGGCCCCACGAGGCCCATTCCCGGAGCCTGAGCTCTGGGTGGGGGAGTGGGGGCAGCATCTAGCAGGACCTCCCCCAGAACCAGCGTCCATCCTCACACTTGAAGCAGGGGGGCTTCTCTGCCCTCAGAGACACAAAGTGACTTCGGAGCTGCTCAGGTAATTCCCTCGCTCTCCGTCTCTGTGCCTCTTCCTCCCTCTTCTCTCCCTCTCCCCTCCGCCCTCTCCTCCCTATCCTCTGTGTTTCTCTCTTCTCTATGTCTCTTTCTCTGCCTCTTCCCCCTACCTCTGCCTCTCTCTGTATCTCTGACTCTCTCTCCCCCCAACGCCAGAGTTCTCAGTAGGAGCCCTCCTCCCCACCCCCGTAGCCCCAGCCTTGCAGGCCCGGCTCACTCTCCGCATCCTTCCGGTCAGGAGCGTCCTCAGGGAGCCTCCTCAGGTAGTCCTTGAGCAGCAGCTCGTAGCGGGGGACCCTCTGCACGGGCTCCAGCATGTGGTGTTGCAGGGTCAGGCTCCCGCACTCCTCCTGCTTCTGTTGGACAGAGGGCAGTATAGGCATCACAGCCCCACTCTGGCCACTGCAGGGCCACCCGAGCTGGCACAGACCAGGCATCCCAGCTGGGGAGACTGAGGCCCAGGATCAGAGCCACGGAGCAAGGACAGAACCCAGGGGCTGGCCCTCGACCAGAGCTCCCTCTTGGGTACACAGGATCACTGGGGAGAACGCCCATGGCAAAGACGGTCTTCCCCCTCCTCAGTCACTGTCCCCGTGTACCCTCGGCCCTCCTTCCCTGGCTCTGCCGAAAGACCAGCAGAGCTTCGCCCGACTCCCTGCAGGGAACGGGCGGCACTGCTCCCCCTGCTTGGAGCTGCTCGAGGGTTTTGGAGCCGCTTGAGGATTCTGCAGCCCCCTCATGACAAGCACAGGGTAGGTGAGGCTGAGACTCTGGCAGCCCCCTGCTCAGCACACTCGGTGGCTCCCTACACAACACCTCTCTGACACACAACTCCTCCTCATGGCTGCCGGGCCCAGTGCAGGCCCAAGACTGGATCGAAGCCCTGGACTTCACCCGGCAGCCATGAGGAGGAGCTGGAGGGCTGAAGGCAGCCTAGCCCTGACACGTGTGCTAAGAGTGGTCACCCTGTCCCCTCATGCCACTTTGTCCCCTCCTCCCCTGGCACTACCCACTTGGCTACTGCCCACCATTCTGTACGCCTGCTCTCCCACCCACACACGGGCTGGAAACTTGCAGCCTCGCCCAGCGCTGGGCCCAGGACGGAATGGCTGACAGCTCAGGTGACCTCAGAAAGGCCCTGGATACAGAGGGCCGGAAAACTGCTTGTTCACAGAAACGGCCGCTCCCGGGGGTGATGGGGAGCAGCATATTTACAGGATCTCAATATATCTTCATGCAAGGAGTGAATTAATAGGGGCTAGCCCACAGAACAGTGGTAAAATGCTGAGCAGGAGGAGCTGCACATGGCCGACTGTCGTTCGAATCCCAGCCCCAGAGGTTTAAAAAACACACTGGGCGTATGTGTGTCCAGGCACCTGATGGGATGGAGGAAAAGTGATTGCGGCATGACCAGGCTCCCACAGGGGGTTTGCTCTCTCTTTCATGCATGTACAAGCTCTCTGGCTTGAATACATGCATGTGTGCATACATACATACATATATAAATAAAATTTAAAGATAAAAACATAGATAGATAGAAAGGTGATAGATAGATAGATAGATAGATATGAGCTCACTGGAGAGACAGACAGAAAGTGAGAAATCACCCCTCAGGGGGTGGCCATGCTACAATTCCTAATCCTCCATTCTCCTCTCAGGATCTTGGGCACACACGCACACGGCCAGGCGTAGTTTTAAACCACTGGTCCAGGATTTGTACCTGGTTGACCACATGGGAGTCCAGCAACGTAATCATTACGCCATCTGCTGGTCCTGAAGATAAAAACACATTAATGGGGAGAAAGCTCTAACTTCACTGTGGAGAGGCCTGGCAGACACACCCTGAATCAAGTGGGCACCCCCAGGAACGGACAGACAGAAACGGCATGCCACGAGGCAGGATGAGGTGAGAGCTGCTTCCCACGGGCTGCCCAGGGGGCCCAGCCTGACCGGAGTGATGGACCAAGAGCAGGCACAGCCAGGCCGAGAGGTGTGCACACAGCTGGCCAAACTCCTCGGGGAGATGAGACAGTGGCCCTTCTGGACAGAGGGAATGGAAATGACAATGAAGGCAACACACAGCCCTGCTGTGGGTTGGGGCCAGGAAAAAGCCAGAACTATTGGAACGACTGGTGACATGGTGTGGCAATGGCGCGGATGGCACAGTGACATCGATGTGAAGCTCCCTGGCTGGTCACTGTGCTGTGGCCACACAAGACAATATCCTTCCCACTGAGCGACGGTGGGCCACAGGGACAGATTCGTCTCAAAGGCTCAAAGACAACGATCGTGTGTGTGGTGAGCGAGAACGGCGGGCCAGACGAAAGGTTAAGTTTGGGACAGCTGGTCAGTTTTGCTACTTTCCCATACACACTTGAAATTATTCCCAAATATGTTTGAATAACTTAAATATGCTTTGGGTTGAACAGAGGAAGCCTCCCAGGTCCACGGGAACCCCCGCTGCAGTTTGAGCTTTCTGCCCGTGTCAGTGCTGGCGTTTATCGGCGGGCGAGGGCTGGAGACTTCCTGTGGCAGGCCGGCCTGCTTGCTGCGGGGTGCTGGCGGCCCCCTCTAGCCCCTGCCCACCAGATGCCTGGAGCACCAGTGCACTGGAGCCCTTGCTCAGCTCCTGGGGCAAAGCAGACAGCTAGGGCAGCTGCTGCACACAGTCCATCATCCCAACCCCGAAAGCATCTGGTCCCCAAGGGCCTGCCGGACCCAGGAGCCCAGCCTGCAGGTGTGACGGGCGGCAGGCTGTGCCAGGACGAGCGCCCATCCCTGCCCTGGAGGACGTGCCTCACTCACGCATGGCCCCGTGCTGTGCAGCTGGGTGGGTACTGCAGTGTCACAGCTTCCACACGAGAGGCCAGAGGGACCGACCCAAGGAGGCCTTGCCTCCTCGTCACCCTGAAGCCGAGAGAGGAGTCCCCATGTTGATTGACCACCTGGGAACCCACCAGATTAATCCCAATTTCATCTTTTTCAACTGTCCTTCCTCAGAAAAGAAAACAAATCTGATATCGACTGGCAGAGCAAGCTGCAGAGATCATGGCTTGACGAGAGGAAGAGGAAGGAGGAGGGGTGCGGGGAAAGAACAGAACAGAAAAGAGCCACTGGAGCACAGGACAGGAAGGGTGCCGGCCCAGGGGCTGGTGCAGGGGAGCCTGAGGAGCTCGTGCCCTGGGGGACTGCGCATCACTGCACCTGCACCGCCCTGTGACCCGCCTCACTCTGAGGCTGCCCCAGAGAGGGCTCCAGGATGGCGTCCACAGACCTCCCAGCACAGCGTCCACAGACCTCCCAGCACAGCACGAGAGCGCCTGTGATCTGGGCCGGCTGGGGCAGGGTGGGTGGTCGTGTCACAACCCTGTTGGTGCTGTCTCTCTGCCTCTGTCTCTCTCACTCATAGAAGAAATAAATAAATAAGCCTAAACAAGCAGTCTTTGGGCAATGCTGTTTGGCCAGTCCCTTCTGGCTGGCAGGCCTGGTCGTCACGACAGCTGGGACAATCAGGTGCCCAACCTGCAGACACAGGCAGCATAGGCACCTGAAGGGCCGCGGCCAGGGTGGAGGGTCCTGCAGGGGCGCTGTCGGTGAGAGCAGAGCTCTGGGTGGCTGGGAGAGACTGCCACGTAGGGACAGCTGCTGAGACGGCTAGGAGGCCAGGTGTACACGCGAGAGCTATAGGGTACAAAAGACGAGAAAGGTTGCGGCCTAAGGACAGCTGTCCTGGCTGGGACCCGATACTGACACGAGACAGACACCTGCAGGGCTCAGGGCCTGGGATGCAGCACAGGCTGCGTGTGAGCTGCTGATCAGAGTCTGGGGAAACACAGACGGTGCAGGGGAGCTGCAGATCCAGCCCCAGCGTCCCCTCCCTCAGCACAGAGAGCCCTCAGGGTGAGTGGGGGCGTGAGTGTGTCACGTGTGTCACGTGTGCTTGTGTGTGTGCACGCTCAGGGTCACGAGTGCTGTGGGCTGAACACGTACCATCTCCCACCGGGAAACTATTCTGGACCTGCTTTTTAATTGTTTTACATGAAGCCATAAATTAGAAGAAAATGTAATTTATATAACCTTAGATAGTGCATTTCCAGTCATTACTTTAAAGGCTTCAAAAAGAAATTAGTTTTCAAAAATACTGAATACAGTTGCTTAACACCCCCCAAATTCTGCCTGACAAATAACACCATCAAGTTAAAAAATAAAAGATAAAGGAGAAAACTAATTTGACACGTGTGACAGGTAACATAGGAAAGCCTTGGAAGTCAAGAGGAAGGAGATCCGTATGCAGGAGTAAGAGCGGCAAGGGCCGTGGAAAGGCCGTCTGCAGATAAAGAAGAAAAATCAGTGTGGCATTGGTGAAGGCCCTGGATTTCACATGGCCAACTGTGGTTCGAGCCCTGAGCCCTCCTCAGCTTATAAAACACTGGATGCTTTTGCATGCAGGCCCAAAATCCCAGGAAGAGAATGGAGGAGGAGAGATTTTGGTGTGGCCATTCCCCTTGGGAGTGATTTCCCATTTTCCTCTCACTGTCTTTCTCTGGGGAGCGCATGCGCTCTGTGGCAAAAATCTAAAACAAGAACCTCTAGACATATCCCATGACTTTACTGATTTCACATGTGTCTTTTTTTTTTTCTTTTTTTGGAGAGATTTTCACTATAGGGCGCGTGCGCTCGCCAGACAGACAGAGAGAGACAGAGAGACAGAAAGCGAGAAATCACCCCCCAGGGGGGATGGTCATGCCGCAATCCCTTCTCCTCCATTCTCCTCTCGGGATCTTGGGCACGCATGCACACGCGCCCGGCGTGAGTTTTAAGCCACGGGGTCCGGGAAGTGAACCGCGGTCAACTACGTGGGAATCCAGCGACATAGCCATTACGCTAACTGCTGGTTCCCACACGTGTCTTTTTTTTAAACACACCAGCTTGGTGCCCTCCTCTGGGCCACGTCCGTACCCCACGGCCGCCCTACCTGGACGCTGTGGATGATGTCTTTGAACAGCTGCGAGCGCTGTGTCCACGTGCTCACCAGCCCCACCGCGCGGTCAAAGTTCTTGACGTACTCGCCGTACATCTTCAGAAAGGGAGCCAGCTTCTGCAGGATGTCCCCGAGCCGGGGGTTGGTGTCCCTTTGTGAGGAAGCAACCGCCCAGGTAAGACGGACACTGAAGTCAGTGAGCATGGCCCTCGTGGGGGCCACAGGAGACTGCCTAGAGCTGCGACCTGGCTTGCAGCAAGGTGAGACGGCGGGTGCACAGGCTGCCCTCTCCAAGCCGCGGTTTCCTTCCCCATGTATGTCATGTCGGGTAGAAAGCAGTGAGTTACTAGATCAAACAAGAGGCAGCCCGGAATGCACAGCCGCCGGCCCTGCGGGTGGCATGGAGGCTACAGGGCTGGTCCCACATGCTGACTTCATAGCTCAGGTGCCGGACTCGGCTGCTTGAAATCACACGGGCTGCATGTGCACGTGTGCCCGCATCCCAGGAGAAGGGAGAAGGGACTGTGGCGTGGCCTATCCCCTTGGGGTAGAGATCCTCACTCCCCAGTCCTTCCCTGGTGAGTGTGCATGCCCTATAGCAAAACTAAACAAACCAACAGAAACGTGTCCACAGCCTGGGCTTAGGACCGACGTCTGAGACGGAGTGGTATCAGTGATCACAGACGCACGGAATGATGGGCAGCTGTCCAAGGGACCGGAGGGCTGTCTTACTCCTTCAAAATGAGAGATGAGAGACACTGCTTCTGTCTGGTGCCGGCGAGGCCTTGGGGAAGGCGTCCTTTGCCAGCGGACAGTGAAGACTGACCGCCGCCATAGATGGGGATTACAAGTCCATCTCAAAAAGCAGAAAAATCTGGTACTAATCTTTGACCTTGGAACTGTTAAAACTTCATTCTCAGGGGACCAGCAGATAGTGTAATGGTTACATTGCTGGACTCCCACGTAGTCAATTGTGGTTCGAGTCCCAGACCTGGTGGCTTAAAACTCACCCCAATGCGTGTGCACATGTGCCCAGAATCCCAAGAGGAGAATGGAGGAGAAGAGACTATGGCATTGGCCATCCCCCCAGAGGGTGATTTCTCACTTTTTGTCTCTCTCCGTCTTTCCAGTGAGTGCACGCACCCTATAGCAAAAAAATTTAAATAAATAAATAAATAAATAAATAAATAAATCTCTCTCAAAAATTCAAAAATTAAGGAGGAAAAATAGAAAGGCATAGGGACCAGCAGATGGCATAATGGTTATATAACTGAACTCCTATGTAGTTGATTTCAATTTGAGTCTCAGACCTGGTGGCTTGAAACTCATGCAAGATGTGTGTGCATGTGTGCATGCCCAAAATCCCAGGAGGAGACTGAAGTAAAAGGAATTCAGCATGGCCGTCCCCCCAAGGGGTGGTTTCTTGCTTTCTATCTTTCTGGGTCTCTCTGTCTCTCTGGTGAGTGCACGTGTCCTACAGCAAAAACCTCTTACAAAAAAAAAGAAAAATAAAAATAGAGAAGCATGACATTAGTGGGACACAGAAATGGTTTATTATCTGTTGATGATAACATGCATAGTTTTCTCAACTGGACTGGTCTGAGGAATATTTCATGTTGGGTAAATTCTCTTTACAGGCCAAATGATGTATAGCAATCGAATGTTTCAAAAAAATAAGAATAATCAAATAAATAAATAAAATCATCTGGAAAAAATGAAAAGCTATTTGCTGCTGCTGCTGTGGATAGTAATGTCTTTGTCTTGACTGATATGCATGGTAATCATGCTGGAAAAAGAAAGGTAATACACTGTAAAGATATATGTGATTGGGAACCAGCAGTTAGTGTAATGGCTATGTCGCTGGACTCCCATGTAGTCGACCGCAGTTTGCGTCCTGGACCCGGTAGCTGAGAACTCACGCCGGGCGCGTGTGCGTGCGTGCCCCAGATCCCGAGAGGAGAATGGAGGAGAAGGGATTGCGGCGTGACCATCTCCCCTGGGGG